TTTTACGATGCTTGACTGACGATAAAGCAAACAGTTCCATATCCGCACTCAATTATTTTTAGGGAAAAGAAATTATATATTCAGAAACTCCATTAAAAGCTTTACGAAGTCGAAAAAATCAGAACCAAATTTGATAAAAAAAAATTAATTTATAAAATACGTATGTGATTAAAAGTGATTTGTGATGACTAAATTAATAGTATATGGACAATCTTAGCGGGACGGGTAACTACTACGGAGTATTCATCAATATCAATAATAATACTCCGTAAAAATAAAATTAATGAGGACAAATGTGCTTGACTAGAAGTTGTAAGAAGACTACGCACATAGCAGCAACAAATGACACGTAGCTATACGGTGCTGCTAAGTTCTGAAAGAGAGACACGTGGCGGCGTGTCCGGCGGTCTATTTATAGATAGTTAAGGACACAAGTATAGGTACATCGGTCGAATTGAAGATGGCGGAGGCGCAAAAAATGAACGGGGCGGAGGGGTCCAAGAGACCGCACCCGGCCGGAGGAGTGCTGCACCAACGGCGAGGTCTGCCGTATAGCCCAGCAACCATGGCCGTCGCCGGCGTCGCGATAGTGGGCACCATAGGGTATTTCACGCTGTACACCAAGAAGAAGCCCGAAGCCAGTGCTCGAGATGTTGCCAAAGTGTCCGTCGGGGCTGCCGGCCCAGAGGATACTCATCCCCGCAAGTAGCCCGGCCCGCCGGCCCATTTCCATCATCTATCAATTTCTTAATTTACTGTATGCGTGACATGTTTATTTCATTTAGGATACATACATGAATGCATGGGAAGTCGGAACTAGCTAGCTATGTTTGTTTGAATAATACTGTATTTAAATATGATTTCACCAAAAAATGTTGTTTGTAATCTCAAGTTGTACACGTCATTTTACACGCCGGTTAAAATGTTAAATTGGTTATGCATAAACAATTTTTTCCATATGCTTAAACAATTTTTTCCATTTTGTGAAAAGAATTATTTTTCTCACGACATAAAAAATTTGTCTGTGTCCGTACACAATTTGGACCGGCATGTGGAAACGAATTGCATGTACACGAAGCAGTTAAAGATATTTTTATTTGGATTTAAATTGCAAGTCTGGTCGGAAGCATTTAAGATATTTTTACTAATCTAGTCTATCTTGGACAAAGAAACAGTCCAAAAATGACAACCCTTGCCTCTGAAGGCTAGACATAGATCAAACAAACAATACTGAACGGTTGAAGCCTTGAAGGTTTTGTGTAATAAACTTCATAAATGAATTCGAACATGTAGATCGAGTCATCAATAATCAGTACTTTTTTCACATGCCGCATATATACATATATATGATTAAAAGTCAATTACAATTTCATATTCTCTACAAAATATCCGTTTAATGCTTGGTACAATAATTCTTTTGCATAAGACGTGCGGAGTATCTTTCAAAAAATAAATCATGCGAAAAATCTTCTTAAAAGTGAAAGATGTTATGGTGTTTCAAAAGCACTTTTTATCTTCTAAAATCGAGAGTATGAATGAGCCATTCCGGCTTTTAAAAGCAATTTCATGACAAACGTTCCGGATATGCTTCATCACTTGTGTTCGCTCCCTTAGACATCTCGCTAGTTGTTCATGGGGAACATGCTCAAATCTTCCATTTTATCTTAATCTAATGATACTGTTATGGAATGTTCATACTAGGGATTTCATAGTCCGTTGGTCATGGAAAATATGAAATTGAAAATTGAACCGTCGATTCCCGGTTAACTTCGATCGTTTGAGCACATTCTGGTTGGTTTTTGTCCATTGGTTTCGATTCGATTGAAATGTTGAATGAAATGTTGTTGTATTCGGGTTATTTTGTTCACCCTAGTTCAGGCATAACAATTAAAGATAGATTCAAAAATAATCAGCGGCTTACAATACACATGACCATATACGCGCATCGAATGAAAACTACACCATCAGGGGTGAGGGGTGAGGGGTGGAGATAGGTAGGGGAGACAGGTAGGGATGGAAGGCGCCACGGCCTCTACAATTTGTTAGAAAATATATATTGATATTTTGAACTTTGGCCCTTCCAATATAAAATTTTCAAGTATCGGTCCCTTTAACTTAAATGGAGCTTTAACCATAGATGTCTGGCTCCTTGTTAGAAAATATATTGATATTTTGAACTTTGGCCCTTCCAATATAAAATTTTCAAGTATCGGTCCCTTTAACTTAAATGGAGCTTTAACCATAGATGTCTCGTATATGCCATTGAATTGGTATGCAATTAAGAACCCGTTTAGTAACACTAAAATTGAGAATTGACTGATTCTGTTGAAATTTATGAAGTTCTGGTTGAAGTGACTATATTGACTGAAGTGAAAAAAATATATTTAAAATATTTTTTATTAATAAATAAAATAAAAAATTATATGAAAAATAGCTAGAATGATCATAACTTCAGTCGTAACTTCAACCTTACTTTTTCTGCTTATTACATAATTCAGCACCCGAAATCAAAAGTTAGTGAAAAAAATATATTTAAAATATTTAAAATATATTGACTGAAGTGAAAAAAAATATATTTAAAATATTTTTTATTAATAAATAAAATAAAAAATTATATGAAAAATAGCTAGAATGATCATAACCTCAGCCGTAACTTCAACCTTACTTTTTCTGCTTATTACATAATTCAGCACCCGAAATCAAAAGTTACGTGTTTGGTGAAAAAATATATTTAAAATATATTTAAAATATTTAAAATATATTGACTAAAGTGAAAAAAATATATTTAAAATATTTGTTATTAATAAATAAAATAAAAAAATATATGAAAAATAGCTAGAATGATCATAACTTCAGCCGTAACTTCAACCTTACTTTTTCTGCTTATTACATAATTCAGCACCCGAAATCAAAAGTTACGTGTTTGGTGAAAAAAAAATATTTAAAATATATTTAAAATATTTAAAATATATTGACTAAAGTGAAAAAAATATATTTAAAATATTTGTTATTAATAAATAAAATAAAAAAATATATGAAAAATAGTTAGAATGATCATAACTCTAGCCGTAACTTCAACCTTACTTTTTCTGTTTATTACATAATTCAGCACCCGAAATCAAAAGTTACGTGTTTGGTGAAATCAAAAATTACGTGTTTGGTGATAAATTTATTTGAAGTAATATAAAGGGGTAAATTCATAATTGAAATTTTAGTGGAGAAAAGCAATCCGTGTACGAACAAAGGAAGCAAAGGAACATGTTTGATCCTTGAACAATGAAGTTACCCACAAAAAAATCTCAACGGGCCTTTGTAAAAATGTGTAAATAGTTAATAGTGTATGTCAAGAATTATTGACATAGGTCCTCCTTTGGACAAGAAAATTGACAAATCATCTAGGGAAGTACTATAAAACTCATCAATGTATTTCCATGGGCTGCAAACCTGTAAAAAGGCTGCAATCGAACTCCCAATTGCGTAACAATTCAAAAAACAAAAGTGAAAGATTGTTTCCTTTTTTCATGCTTCATATAGACTGCCTTTTTACCGTAAGAGCCAACAATAATAGAACATCATAATTGCATGTTAAAATAGTAAATTAGGACCTCACTAATAAACAAATCATATCTACTTTTAGAATAATGCAAATTGATAGTTCAAAATTGTTTCCCATCAAAATGTTACATACAGTACATTTCTTTTTAAAAATTCAACATAGTGAGCATCTTTAATCAGCATTTTTTTGAGTTTATAGACTTATACGAGGCTGAATTTGGTGTATATGACTCTTATTTTTTCATATATATTTCCAATATCTTGTTAATAAATATATCAAAAACATACTTTTTGTTTTTTTCATATACATTTCCCATATCTTGTTAATAAAATCTATCAAAAATATACTTTTTTATAAGTCAACATACTCCGCAATTTGTTTTTTTTAGCTAATTTACTAATTTAAATAGATCAATCATGTTTCGTGTACACGCCATTTTACACACTGGTCGAATATTTGTCAGTGCATAACATAATTCTCTCCACAAAACGAAAAAATTATCTATGTACCGAATATTCGGTCGCCATATACAATGATGTGTACAAAAGATACGTACAAACATCATTTTCTTAAATAAATTTTGCACATTAAGGCATCAAGCCCATTTCACTGTAACTAAGGATATGTGTGGGAGTTTGAAGGGAAGGGAAGGGGAAAGGTGTGAAGGTTAATTCTAGAAGGACAAGGGGAGGGGAAGGGGAGGAAACTCTTTCTAGTTTGGAGTTCCAAATTTGAATAAAGAGTGGCTAAGAAGGAATTATAATTAACATCACTTCACATATATAATGAATTCAAATAGTTGAATTTACATTTACTTAAAATTGAGCTAAAGTTGTTCCCCAATTTGGAAGAACTTAAAAATCGAGCATTTGAGGGATTTTGTAGGATTACAATAGCCCTCCAAAACCATCCGCTCCACATTTTTAAACTCCCAAACATTAAAAGAATGGTTATAAATGCTTGTCAATCTTACCCTCTCCTCCAAAACTCAATTCTCAAATATACCATAAGATATGTTTGGGAGTTTGGAGAGAAGAGAGGGAAAGCTTTGAAGGTATGTTGTTAGAGGGGAAAGGGGGGAAAATGTGAGAAAAGGTGAGAAAACTGTTCTTCCTATTTGGGAGTATAAAATTTGAAAGAAGAGTCTTTAAAGGAATTGTAATTAAAATCACATTGAGTCATTGAGATGTGACAAATTCAAATAATTTAATTGATATTCATTTTAAATTAAGCTCAAATTATCATTTCATTAATTACCTTTCAAAACCTTCCACATTGAAAAAACTTAAAAATTGAGCATTTATAGAGTTTTGGAGAGTTACAAAAGCCCTCCAAAACAATCCCCCTTCAGTTTCTTAAACTCCCAAACATGAAAAGAGGGGTCATAAACCCCCATAAACCTTTCCCTCTCCTCCAAAACCCAACTCCCAAACAGACCCTAAAGAGCTTTAAAGTATTGACTATTGAATGCTTATGAAGTTATGGACAGGGAAGTAAAACAAATGAATACGTGGTACAATTTTGCAAACATCACTATTATCAAGTAAAATAACAAATGAAGCACTTGCTTGTATCATTAGTCCATAGTTTAACAAAACATCAAGCAAACAACTTCTATCCAAACCTTAGCTGCAACAAGTTGAATTAACTTCACCACAGCCATACACAAACAAAGTGACTTCTTTATGAAAGATAGACTTATATATATCAAATTAAATGTGGTGTGAAGAAGAATCACATGACAACACAAGCATTAGTATTCTCGTCACTAAACGCCGTCGTGTAGCGAACTTCGGTGGAGGAGGCTCGGGCAAGCTGGTATGCTTGCTGGTTATTATCTTCGACCCTGCGTACGTACCCGGCGGGGGCTTTCTTGTCATACACCCCTTGTGCGTACGGGTGTGCTACCACATCATAAGGAACGTACGGCCAAATCTCCGCCTTCTTTCCGGTGCGATGGGCCACGCGTGCCACTACCTTCTCGGGCTCTACATACCCCGTAACCGTGAGCTTGTGCTGCTTCGGATCAACCTGCACTGAGTTCACCCCTTTCATCCCCTCAACTGACTTCTTCACTTTCCTTACGCACCCCTCGCAGTCCATCTTCACTTTTACCTCCACCGTCTGTCCATTACCACCACACAAATACAACATTGAATCAAACCACACGATCCATCCGGTAATAATCATACTTCTTTTGCTAAAACATACACCATAGTACCATACTACCCAATTGAGGTAATTAAACAATATGTGATACAACTATTTTATCAACAACATAGTCATACAATACAAGCTCAATGTCTGATTTAAAAAAAAAAAAACTCTATTTAGATGAACTTAAAGCATGACTTATGTGGGTTTCTTTAAAAAATTAAAACTGAGCCCGGTAACGCTTATTTTCATTTTATCGGGCTTGTTAGCCAAGTTTTTTATCAAACAAGCAAGTTATCAAACAAGTAGTGGTACAAAATAAGTAAGGTTGAATTACTTTTCTGGCAAAATTAGCTGAAATTGTTTTAAAATGAGAATTTTTAGCTTTATTAATATTAGTATTACATAGTATTGTATATTTTTTCTTCAAAATTCATTAGATTCAACCAATCCAACCGTTTCCACGCAAATTTCACCTATTTTAACTCATTCAAACAATTTCAATATTACAAAACAAACACTTAATCCAGGCTTATGTGGCTTCAACCGACGTAATACTCTGTCAGTTTTTGTTCATGCCAAAGGGTTCAAACAAAAAACAATTATGTGGTCTCAATGATCACTGATAAAGTTTTTGCTCGTTTGACCAACACAAGGATAATAAAGTAAAAACTGTACGATTGAGTTTTGTGTAGAGGGGATAAATGATAGGAATTACAAATTGATTGATTAAATTAGAAACTGGCAAAGTTTTTTTAACAATTAGAAAAGGAAATATGAGAAAGAATTGAGGGTAAAATTACTAAAATATATTCCGTATTTCGCATAATTTGTTAGTTTAGTTAGTTTTTTAAAAGAAGAAACAACAAAACAAATGAAATCAAGCATCATTTCTCCTTATAATTAAGATTATATACTCTTTCATTAATCTAAAATCAGAATCAAATAGTGGGTGACCACAGTATAAATAAAAACATTAGATTATGAACAGAAAAACATTTGTGAATGTACTTGATCGAGTAGGGTAAAATGCGATTACAAAGGTTTGTGACTTTGTATTTTTCCAAAAATGGGTAAAATATCTGTCAACAAAGTATATGTAAGAGGTTGAAATACTAATTAGTCCCGGGCATTAAAAAATGTGGACGTTATAGAAAAATATTTCCAAGTCACACACGTTCATGGATGATAAAAAAATACTCCGTATTACGTCTGCTTAGGACACCTAATTACATTTATACAACAACAAAAATTAAATTTATACCACTAGGAAATATCTTCATGTTCACTTTAAAGCATATCCCTGGACTTGCTCTAAAAGTATTGGTGGCGACCGAGATTTTTTTTTTTTGAATATGACAGAGATATTTAATAAAAATTATAAACACATGGTAGGCCCGACCTTAGCGGACTATTGGGAACTGTGGGGTCCCCTAGGCCCGCAATCAATGGGCGTAGCACAGTACCTTTTCTGGGCCCACATGCAGAGCAGAGGTTGGGACGCTGCATCATCACACAAAACAGACATGCGGAAGAAGATCCTATGATGATTGCCATTGATATGCCCTGTGCCCATATGGGTCTAGCTCCACCCAAAAAGGTTGTTAATTTATTCATCATCATAAAATGTTTAGGTCTGTTTGTAGCCCATTAAAAAAAAGTACTTTTTTCTTTTTCTATTACACAAAAAACACTTATTTTATCAAACACTACCAACTTTTACTACTAATCACTTTTTTCCTAAAAGTGTTTTTATTTAAACAGAAAGTGATTGCAAACAAAGCCTTAATAAGAGTGCTTTCCTGGGATTGAAGGAAGGATCCTATCTGAGATGTGAGATCATCTATGGGGTTTGAGTTTTTTTATGCTGCAACATAAGTCTGGGATTTGTATAGTGAACTACAAGAACTGACTTTACAAAAAAAGTAGAAAGAAAGAAGCTTTTAATGAATAAAAACAAGAGCAATAAAGAAAAAAGATGAAATCTTTAGGGGAAAAGAGAGAGGAGAAAGATGAAAAACCTGCAATTGCTTTCGTTTCTTGTGCTTAGAGTCGCCAACAGAGCAGTCGAAGACATCAGAGAGCTGATCAATAACTCCCATTTTTCTGCCGCGGCGTTTCGTTTTCCGGTTGTTGAGATGAAGCTGTGAGGTAAGGAGAGGGTTCAAATTGACGAATGAAGACAAAGGTGATGATGATAAGACAGCAAAGGGGAGAGAGAGGGAGGGGTTATTGTATTGTATTTCCTGGCTAGTGACTGTGAGTTTGAAAGGCCACCCCTCGGTTTCGTTTACTTCGTTCCCGGCGTGTTTGACCTGTCTTTGCCCCTCAACAGGGCATTAGAAGCACTTCGTTTGGACCATCTTAAGAGGATTGTTGGACTACAAGCATAAGGAGTACTTGGTTTGGGCCCTCATAAGAGGATTGTTGGACTACAGGCATAAGGAGTAGGGAAATTTTTTACTAAATACACACACCTCCACCTCGGTCAAATCTATTCTTTTTTATAATTCCAAGTTTGCCCTTGATATATCTAACACTCACTGAGTTCCATCTTTCTAATCGTTTAAGCACAAACCAAAGAGCCAGTTCCCTATCTCACTTCTCCCGTCCAGGCAGCAAGTCGATACAGAGCACATCTCCTAGACGGCCGATTGTCCACTGCCAGCAAGCCGGAACAACCAGCACACTTCCATTGGATCAGTCAATGGTTCAACCATTCACCATTAAATATAACCAAGAAAAGCCCTTTAAGATCGCCTAAAAGTGCCCTAGCAATTAAGTAAGGACATGAAACTAGTCCCAGGAATCATAAAAGTCTGCATGAATATATAAGTTAAGTAGTAACCCATGACAAATCTCCACCCTCAAAAGCGTAAACTTGTTTTTCAGTTTCGATTTTATTTACGTGCTCAACTATTCATTACACGAATACTACGTATCTATCTTTCTTGAAAAATCATTGGCAAGTTAAGTTCCAAGAAATTGAAGATCTGCTGGCTGTGTGAAAGCTTTATTTTGCTCAACACAATCGCCAATTCTTTGATGGGAACGTACCATAGTTTGCCTGTTGGGAACGTAATGGTTTGTGCGTATGCACTTAGGGTAATGACATCAATTAAACGATGTTAACTAGCAGTAAGGGTAATTTAGATACTTAATTATTTTTATTTAATCCTATTTAATTTAGTGGCTGTGTTTAGTAAAAATGAGGCTGTGAATAGAATTGCTACTTGGTTTAGGCCATCTTGAGAGCATTGTTGGACTGCAACGCATAAGAAGTAGTGGAAATTACTCATACGGTCCACTTTTATATGTCATATGTCATTTATAGCCCACCTGTTTTTTTCTTTTCATTTTGAATCTTGGGTAATTCTATTCACAGCCCCAAATTGCAATCCACAACCTCCAAATTATTTTTATACCTAAGTTATCCTTAGAGTTGGTCTGCTGAGTCATCCGTCATTGACATAGCGGCTCTGTTAAAAAAATCCCCACTTATGTCTTGGTCATCTTCTTCTTGTTTAACATAATTTTTCCCCATCTTCATTTATTTATTCCTCACTGTCAGCTTCATCCTTCTTAACTTTGTGTGCTCTTTCATCGCTCATAGTTGTATTAGATAGGAATGGCAAACTCTATTGAGCAATTCAACCCTCAATAAAATAACCCAGAATCAACACCGACCTTTCGTACTGAGCAACAGAGGATATGGGCCTCATCAACACTCAGTCACTCACCACCGCGTGCTCTGTAAATCTTCATCTTCTCCATTACCTCTCTGTTACAAATGAAGCCGGTAGACAGATGATTTGGGTCGGTTCAAAGTGGTTTCAGATTGTCCTTGTTAGAGGGCTTCAATTAGATATATGGTACACTCTAATGAGAAATTGATTCTCGCTGGAACGGAGAAAACTAAGAAAATGATGGGCTTCTAGTGTGATATTTCCCACATTGGAAAACCCAAGAGATTTTCACCCACTTATAAAGGGAGCGGGCAACCTGCGGACACATTTAAGGAGTTAAGATTCTCTGGTGGAAAGGCTCTCTTCGCACGCAGGGGGTGGGGTGCCGATCAAATCCCGAAAACAGAGAAGAAAACCCGCGACTTGCGTGAGCGGGCAACCTGCGGACACAAATGTCGTCCGAATACGTTCTAATGACATTGTGCATTGCACAAACTTGAGCTATTTTCTGTTCCATCTTCTTTCTGTTTTTCTTGGCTGTTTATTTTAATTAATTCATTTTCTTTGTTTTTCGAGAACACACCCAACAATCTTCAAACGTATTCAAATCTTGTATCATACAGATACAATTTTAAAAAATTTGTGTTTATCAGAAAACAATAACAAAGGAAAATGTCTTCTCAAGAAAATCAGAATGTTGTTGGGTAGAATGTGCCAAATGACACTCACTTTAAAAGCGGAGCTCCGGTGAACATTAGTTCACAACACGGAGCATCTGCTTTGGGCAACCAAGGGGCAATCCATATGGTTGCCGTGCCGAGCAACTTTCTGGAGAAACCCGAAAAGTTCAAAAGATGTTCTTCTATCTCACTACTCTCGGTCTTGCAAGGTTCTTGACCGAGGACGCTCTGGTTGTAATCGGAAGTAAGGTAGATGTGCAATCTCTTAATTTAACGCGGTTGAGGCATGGAAGCATTCAGACTTCCTTGGCCAAAATTACGTGCTGAACGGGCAACATGATGCTCTCTACGATGTTTATAGCAAGATAGCTACGACTAAGGAGTTATAGGATGCTTTGGACCACAAGTACAAGAGCGAGGATGTCGGTGCAAAGAAATTTTTTGTCGGTCAATTCCTTGACTTTAAAATGGTGGTTTCAAAGACTGTCTTGATTCAAGTTGAGGAGATGCAAATGATCTTCAACGAAATTCGAGATGAAGGAATGACGGTTAGTGAGTCAAGTATCCATTTATTGTCGCCGGGCTTAGAAAGATTTCAAGAACTACCTTAAGCATAAGTGAAAGGAAATGAACTTGGAGCAATTGATCCTCCGTCTTCGGATTGAAGAGGATAATCGGAAGAACGATGGGAAACTCCCTATCGTTGGTGGCGCCAAGGCAAATGTGGTGGAACATGTTAAAGGCTCCAAGAACAAGAATAATAGGAAGAGCAAGCTCGGTCCTAAGGGAGACGTTTGCAAACCAAAGTTCAATGGAAAATGCTTCAATTGCAATAAAAAACGGACACAAGTCCGCGGATTGCAAGACACCGAAGAAGAAGAAGAAGAAGAAGAAGAAGAAGAAGAAGAAGAA